AAGGCTCTCCTCCGCGTGGTTGCCAGTCGACATTGACCGGCGGATGGAACTACCTGTGGCTCATAGTGGCTTCAATAAACCATTGTTTAAAAACCCTGGCTTAGTATAATTCATGGACACATCAATCAATGTTTAAATTAACCAATTTAATTAATTTTAATAACTGGTTTTAATTTAGGTTTTGATTCTAACTGCATCAATGCTCTTATGTTTTATACTCATTTTTATTGAAATAATAGCAATAGCACTTGGACTTATGTACCAGTCCATAGTGCTTTACAGCATACTCTAGGTGGTTTACATTGTCAGCGTATTGCCCCCAACAATCTGGGTCCTCATTATACCAACCTTGGAAAGATGGAAGGCTGAGTCAACCTTGAGCTCCATCAAGATCGAACTGTAGACCGTAGATAGAGTTAGCCTACAATACTGCATTCTAATCCCTGCATCACCAGAGCTCTTAAATAAGTTATCCTTAGTGGTGGGTCAAGTATAAACAGGAAGCTTGGGCATAAATTAAACACTTCTGTCAATGGGGCATGTGATGTCCCATTTGAATGTTTGGGCAGTAACTTATTTAGCCCTGCTTGGAGATAGCAGGGATTACAGATGAGAACTGCATGCTGCTGTATGCATATTGCATACGGCTACCCTATATAGCCTCTCTTCCTATAGGGGAGATGGGATAAGCAACCCTAAGGGAAGATGCCCAGCACTCCACCAATGGGCAATATTTGGAGGGTTCGAGGAAAGTAGGCTTAGGACCACTGGTGCAGCATATGACAAATATGCAGTTAATTAGAACTGTTGGCGTTTCACTTACCGGCAGGACTGGCAGGGCCCTTGCTCAGTCGACTGGAAACCATATTCATGGTTTAGACAGCAGTCTTCCTGGGCAACTTCATCTCCCAATAAGTTATTGCAAGTCCCTGAGATTTCATCAAAAGTTTTGTAGCATAGAACATTTTCAGCCTCTGAAAAAGGAAGTCCAGTTTAGCTTTGAGATCAGAGAGCCACTTCCCATAGATCAACATTTTTATCCACACCAGGACGGTCCAGAGGAAGAGCCAAGAAAAAGACAGCAAAATAAAAATCAGAAAGCTGAGGAGAAGAAGATGCTTGTTTCTTAAAGTGATAGTTTCGTTTCCATTTTCTGACTTCCATAACTATACTCAACATGAGCATTTATTTGTCCATAATAGCAATTAGTCCCTTAGTCGGGTAGGTATTCAAAATCAATAATGGCAGTTTTGCTCACATACCTGCATTTCTAAAAAAGCCATTTACCTAGGACACAAATAAAACAGGCATATAAAAAATTGAAAAGGAACAAGTCCCTTCTGAATGCTCTCCATAGGCCAGTGGTTCCCAAACTTGGAAACTTTAAGACTTGTGGACTTCAACTCCCAGAATTCTCCAGCCAGCTCTCTACAAGTCTTAAAGTTGCCAAGTTTGGGAACCACTGCCATAGGCGAAGGAAGGCAAAGATACGTGTCCCACAATAATGTTGCAGGATCTAATCTGGGTTAGTCAAAGTTTTCTCTTCCGAGCTTTTGGACTCATGCTAGAGTTCATCCTTCTCAGGGAACTTCTCTCTCAGGGCTCCAGCACAAGTCTGAAAGCTCAGAAGATTAAACCTCTGGTCCTGTTGACTAACCCAGATTGGATCTTGCTCTCCATAGACATCCAGATTATGAACGTGGAGAACAACTCAACAACTTTGTGTTTCATCAAACTGAAAAGTCAGGTTTGTTATGAATGAATGAAGGAGTAAATTCAATACACACAGTTGCATTAGATGATATTTTTAAAAAAACCTTCTCATTTGGGAGCCAGCTTGACTGGCTGTTGAATTTTCAATCTATTCTGGAGATGGGATGGGATCTTACAAGCTGACCTAAGGGCAGAAAAACTGCCCCGTGGGGTACCAGAAGGCCCCAGGGAAGAACCAGTTCTGTTTTCCAAAGAAAAAAGGAGCTGGAAGGGGGGGTCCCAGAGCAACTTCCGTAGAGAAGGTCTACCATTACTGCTCCCTACCCTCCAATTACCACCATCACCTTGAATTGCTGGTCACTTTTTAAAATTTCCCACAAGATACTAAGAGAGCAGCACCCCTGAGTACTTTGGGGGATTTGGCTAGATTCAATCACTCCAAATTATTCCATTTGGGTCTTTCTTTTTAAATGGGCCAGGATTTCTCTTGTCCTCTATCTATCCTTCTCCACCTGCTTGAGTCAGATTAGGGTCTTCTTAGCAGAATCGTAGTTGATCTCATTCCTTCAGTGATCAGTCATTTGATAGTGATGATGTTTCAATTTTAATGAATGCTCACCAACTACACTTTTTACATGTCTCTACAATGCATCTATTGTTCCCCTTCCCCTTGCCAGCTGAGCAAGGCTAACATTTCATGTGCCTAAGGAAGTGGACATTGATCTATGAAACCTTCTGCTGTAGTAAACATAAAAATGTCATCATGCTTTATTTTATTTCTGATGGTAAAAGACCTCAAGGTGGGATTTATGGAAGCTAGCTCCAGAGTGCAATTTATAAATCCCAATTCTATGTTGTTGACAGTTGCCTGATAACACCGACAATGAAGAGGAGAGCTTGCATTCAGTAAAAAAGCAGCATGGGGAAAAATATATTTTTGAATCAAAAGCAGGAAGTTTACACTTTTAAACCTGTTTTTTATATTCTCAGAAGTTTATAATTCATTATCAACACAACACACCCACTCATCTTTTTAGTTCCTGTTAGTTGGACTTTCTGCTATGGTACAAATAATGTTCTAGTAACAGATTGATTTCATGGGTTTGGATTGTTCTCTTTATCATTATGATATCTTTACAATAACTACTTTTGATTTGTTAACTGGAAAGCTATACGGCAAAACTGCAATAAAAAAAATACAGTACATATTCCTAAGAACTTCACTGTGTATTGAACTATTTATTTCCAGGAGTAATTTCTGTTGGCTCCAGTGGTATTGATAACCAAATCTGGCCCTAGGCTCTGCCTTGGCTTACCTTCCCAATAAGCAACCGAGTTGGAAGATCATTTAAAAGCAGTTTATTAGGGTTCCCTGTTAAAATGGGATCTCCCTATGAAAATGGAGAACCTCCAGCCCCATGTTACATTCCTTTTTATAATTAATACAACAAAGGAAATGTAAGAAGAAAGTTGATTGGATAGGATAAAAGTAACCTCCCCTTTGCATAGGAAATCAGTTACACGTAGTCCAGGAGTGTCAAACTGGCGGCCCGCGGGCCAGATGAATCACACAGGCCACACCCATCCCAGCTGTGCAAATGGAAAAATGTCACATGATGGCAACATGACATGGCAAGTTTGACACCCATGATGTAGTCACAAATATGTTACATATTTGCATCCAAAAATATCACACATGTTCATTAAAATGAGGTCTGACAGTCCTCAAGAAAGGTTGTTTGGAGTTCACAAAAGAGAATAAACCAGATCCCAATTTGTACTAACAAACTTTTTCTTATCTGGAGCTGGTCTCCAGCCTGTTTAATGGTTTAGGAATGTTAAAAGCAGACAAACCATTTTAAAAGAGAGAAAATAAATCAAATTAAAATACATAGTAACTATGTTAGTTAGCAATTTACAAAATCTGTGTCATGTGCCTCTCAATCAGGAAAGGAAAAGAAAGGAGTCGGTAGATGTTACTCTACGCTAGTCATTGCCGACTGTAGGGGGTGGAACTTATCTCCATTTCAAGGTCATGAGCCAGTGGTCTCCAAAGAGATTTCTGCTGTCATTCTCCCCACCAAAGTGGTACCTATTTATCTACTCGCATTTGCTTGCTTTCAAACAACTTGGTGAGCAGGAAGTGTGGCAATTAACGGAATTCACCCTGTCACATGGCACTCAAACCCAGGCGGCTGGCTTTCCAGCCGACAAGCCCAGCATTTTAACCACTGAGCCATCTCACCACTCCTCATATACTTAAAACCAAGGAATAATAAATAATAAAATTGCCCAGTATATAATTAGATTAAATAACCTTTAACTAACCTTTAAAATAGATAAATTTTGAGAGCACAGCAGAGTGAATTGCCAGACCTCTACCAATTATATTAGCTGATGTTAAACTAACTAGAGACCCTTTTCCAATTGACATGAAATCCTACAGTTCAATCTTACATTATATAAATGTTTGATGGGGAATTGGAGTGGAGCAATTTCCCACAACTGGACAGAAATTCTGAGAAAAATATTAAGTTTACTCTAGGTTTTAAGTTTTCAAAAGTTTTTTTATTATTATTTGATGGACAATTTAGAGGTGATTGACATATGGAGGCAGAAAAAGTATTAATAATAATTAATAGTATTATTCCATTCTATATGGGAAAAAAGCTGTTACAGAATCTAGTTGTTCTGCTTCGGATATCACTAAGGCAACAATGAAAACTGATCACAGACAGGATGTATACAGTCCCTGACAACACTACGGACAACACTATGGTCAAGCAGTGCTTATATGCCATGTCCTGATAGAAAGAAGTGAATTTCCAATAATCTTTTCTGCCCCCCTCACCACTTTCTGCAAAGCCTTCCTGTCCAAAGCAGTAATGTTTCCCAAGCAAACAGAAATACAATACAATACAATGCTTTCAAACGTCCCTCTGTAGAAAGTGGTAAGGATTGTATTTATAACTGCTACAAAATCAGACACTTCGTGTCTTTTCCTTTTTTTAAACTTTATTTCCTCCCCCTTCTTACACTTTTTAGCTTTCTCTTTTATTTTTTTTTCTTTTCTTGTTCTTACTTTATATTAGTTTCTATTAGTTGTTAACCTCCCTTTTCCAAACTCTTTTAATAGAAATGATATTAAAAAATAAGATTATATTGGAAGATTTCCATTCACACAGAAGCCTTTCTTAATGTTCTCTAAACTCTTTTCCATGTGTGTTTATTTGCTTAGCTTATTAAAATATAGATAATAAAATATCTGATCATAAAATACATGATCAGGGACCAAATGCACACAAAATTTTAAAAAGCAAAAAAAAAGTGCATAACATGTGCGCTTGTTAAAAAATTATTTATGGCTGAGCTAAGCATCCTTGGGCAATTGATCAAGTTCAGAAAATCTAACTGCCATTGCTATATTACAAAGTTTGGCTACAATTCTAGATATTTCAGAATAATTTGAATAATTTGTCTTATTGTTTCAGTTTCGGTGCCTGAGCAGATACAGCAGTATAAAAGAACTATTATGATTGTTTTATAGATTTTTTTTAACACCAAAAATAGATATTTAAATAACTATCAGGACTTCTATCAGGACCCGGATTGTTGTTGGGGGCAATATGCTGACTCTGTAAACCGCTTAGAGAGGGCTGAAAGCCCTATGAAGCGGTATATAAGTCTAACTGCTATTGCTATTGCTATTCTAAAGAGATTTTGCATCAATTTTGCTTGGGCAGCGTCTCACCTGAAACCAGGTGCTAATCCAATTTCTTAACAGGAGCCTTAAAAAGAATCAGTATCTCCGTGGGAAGCAAATTGGAGGTGATATCTCAAGTTCCATGGAAATATTTTTCACTATAGTTTACAGCCGAAGTTTCATTTCTGCAGGTTTAAGTTACTTTCTAAAAAAGCATTATACTTTGAATGGAGTAGAATAGAGAGCCGGTTTGGTTTAGTGGTTAAAGCAGTATTTCTCAACCTTGGCAACTTGAAGATGTCCGGACTTCAATTCCCAGAATTCCCCCTGCCTCCAATCTCTTCTGGGTGTGTGTAGGGCTGTTAACAAACATGCAATCACAAATCTTTTGGATGAATAAAACG